ATATCAGAGATTTGCAACTTGAATTGATAAGAAGGAAAATTTCTCTTGTTGGCCAAGAGCCCTTGCTCTTTATGACATCGATTAAAGATAACATAACGTATGGAAAAGAAGATGCAACAATTGAGGATATCAAGAGAGCTGCTAAGCTCGCCAACACAGCAAATTTCATCGATAAGTTGCCCAATGTGCGTGAAACATTCACTGTGTAATTCCAAGTTCTTGCATTTGAGTTGAGTACTAATATTTACATTTATCTTGTACCAGGGTTATGACACAATGGTTGGCCAGCGTGGTGCTCAACTTTCAGGGGGACAAAAGCAAAGGATTGCAATTGCTAGGGCAATCATCAAAAACCCCAAAATACTTTTGTTAGATGAGGCTACTAGTGCATTAGATGTGGAGTCGGAGAGGATAGTTCAGGAGGCATTGGATAGGATCATGCTGGACAGAACTACGCTTGTGGTTGCACATCGTCTAACTACTGTGAGAAATGTTGATTGCATATCAGTTATTCAACAAGGAAAGATAGTTGAACAAGGTCATGATCCCCATTTCCACCGTTCACTTCTTATCAATCACCTATTTGGCACATTTTTGACTAAATTGTTCATATCTCTACATATATTTTTTATAGGTTCCCATGATGAATTAATACTAAACTTAGATGGTGGATACTCTCAACTTATCCTTCTCCAAGAAAGGCATGTAGAGCAGAAAATAGACCATCGACTATCTACCCCAAGATCAAGTACAAGCCTGTCATTGAAGCGGTCGATTAGTGCTTCACTAGGGAATAATAGTGAGCTTTCTTTCACACTCCCCTTGGGGCTACCTAGCACGATTGATTTGCCTGGAGAATATGATACACATGGAAAGAATCAAAAAGAGAAGAATGATGGGGGAGAGGCACGAAAGAAAGATCCTATGGTACGTCTAGCAATTCTTAACAAGCCAGAGGTACCTATTCTTATATTAGGATCCCTAGCTGCAGCAGTTCATGGAGTTATTTTTCCAGTGTTTGGTTTAGTGATTTCAAGTGCAATTAAATCTTTATATGAGCCACCAGATAAACTTAGAAGTGATACAAGTTTTTGGGGTATGATGTGCTTTGTTATGGGTATCATATCAGTAATCACAATACCAGCAGAGTTCTTATTATTTGGAATAGCCGGAGGCAAGCTTATAGAGCGCATCCGAGCTTTGTCATTTCGAAGCATTGTTCACCAAGAAGTTGCTTGGTTTGATGATCCTAGAAATTCCAGGTGTGTGCAGCTTTGATCTCTTGGATTCTCTTCCTACTATAGATTTCATGAACACTACTTTCAGGTACTATAACTGCCAAATTATATCTTACAGCGGAGCACTTGGTGCAAGACTATCAATTGATGCTTTGAACGTTCGGCGTTTAGTGGGCGATAACTTGTCATTAATTATTCAACTTAGCTCAACGCTTGTCACAGGAGTTCTCATTGCTATGATAGCAGACTGGAAGCTCGCTTTGATCACCATGTGTGTGATTCCACTTGTGGGTCTTGAAAGTTATGCCCACGTGAAGTTCCTGAATGGTTTTAGTCAAGATGCTAAGGTAATTAATTAAATAAAATTGTTGGGTTGTTGCCAAGTAATATGACATTTTTTAATAATTCCTAAAAGGCAAATGAACCCAATAGTACCATAAATGTTTCTTTGGACTTAGGCACAAAAATATAACTTTACCACCAATTTGCCCCATAATACGTAGCAAAAGCCAAGCAAATTATACATTATGAAAGTATCTTCTGAGATTTTTTTTATGCATATGACTTAATAAAGTAAATCTAAATTTACTAGATGGCAGTGTACCAGACATTATTGACTCTCATTATTTCCAAAAACACACCTTTTGGGAAAC